CGATAAAATAGCGAAGAGTAGAAACATCAAATTGACAACGAAGATCTGCATAGTCAGAGCAATGGTATTCCCCGTAATAACCTATGAAAGCGAGAGCTGGACCATAAGGAAGGCTGGGCGAAGGAAGATAGATGCTTTTGAACTGTGGTGCTGGAGGAAAATTCTGAGAGTGCCTTGGACTGTAAGAAGATCAAACCAGTCCATACTTCAGGAAATAAAGCCCGACTGCTCACTGGAGGGAAGGATATTAGAGGCAAAGATGAAGTCCTTTGGCCACATAATGAGAAGACAGGAAAGTTTGGAGAAGACAGTGGTGCTGGGGAAAAAGGAAGATGGGCTGACCAAGGGCAAGATGGATGGATGGGATCCTTGAAGTGATTGGCTTGACCTTGGAGGAGCTGAGTCTATTTCTGAGTCTAAGTGCCATCAAGGGATGATCTTATGGCATGTTCTAGAGTGCAACTACACTGTAGAATTAACACAGTTTAACAGCCATGGCTGAATGCTGTAGAATCTTGGAATTTGAAGTTTGGTGAAGCACCGGCACTCATTGCCTGAGAAGGCCAAAGCCCTTATAACCAGGGGCGGATCAACACATTACGCAAAGTAAGCATTTGCAGTATAGTTGATTTTTCCCAGGGGTGCTCTTGAGGCGCTCTTGTGGGAAAATAGACCTTGACATTTGCGAGTTGTAGGTGACTGTAGTTCACCTACAATCAAAGAGCATTCTGAACTCCACCGATGATGGAATTGAACCAAATATGGCACACAGAACTCCCACAACGAACAGAAAATATATATCAGTGATTGGTTGGGCGGCGGGGCGCCAAAATACTGTTTGCTTACCATTGAAAATTACCTAGGGGCGCCTCTGCTTATAACACTACAACTCCCACAATTCCATCACATTGAAATATTGCTGTTAAAGTGATTCCAAACTGTATTATATCTACAATGTAGATGCACTCTAGAACATGGCATAAGATCATCCCTCATAAAGTGTATATTGCTAATACTATATCAGTCAATGCAGGTTGAGCATCCCATTTTTGGAATTCTGAAATACGAAATGAAATTGTACGCATGCCTGAGATAAAGGTTTTCCCCTGACTTTAAGTCCAGTTGTTTCCGACTCTGGGATGTGGTGCTCATCTTCATCTTCATTTCTAAGCCGAAGAGCTGACGTTTTCCATAGACACCTCCAAGGTCATGTGGCCTGCATGACTACATGGAGCTGAGGTAGTGACACCTTTTTTCTGGTGGTTTAGTGTCTGTAAATGATGTTTCATGCACAAAATTATGTAAAATATTGTGCATAGAATTACTTTCCAGCTCTGCATACAAGGTGTATAAGAAACATAAATAAATTTTGAGCTCAGAAATGTGTCCCATCTCCAAGATTTCTCATGATGGATATGCAAGTATTCCCAAACTTCAAACCTCAAACACTTCTGGTCCCAACAAGCATTCCAGATAAGAGATGCCAGCCAGAAATATGCCTAGCCTTTGCCATGAGCCCAGTGAGGTTCCTTTATGCTCTAACAATTAATGTTCATTAATGCCCAAATCTGCCCAAGTGTGAATAATCCCCAAAACTCATGACGGCTGCTGCTCTATTTGGCATCGGTTGGGCCTTTGCAGGAATAATTTGTCTGGTTTGGGTCATTGCATCCTAAGGAGAACTGAGAAAAGAAATGGGGAAGAGCAATTTGAGAAAAAGGCAAGAGAAAGAACCATTGCATATTTAGCATTGTTTAAGGAAGGATACAGTGGATTTCTAATCTCCTCCAAATTGAGCCAGTATGGTATTGTTGGTTTCAACAAGACTAGTAAGGATGCATCTACTGTAGAATGACTGCTGTTTGACACCACTTTACTGCCATGACCTCCAAGAGAACCTATTATTGGGATCTTGCAAACTCAAATGTGTGCCTTCTTTGAGGGAATCCATCCATCTGTAACATAGTTTTCCTCTTTTACTACTGCCTTCTGTTTTACTGAGACATTCAAAATGAATTCTTGGATAAATGCATAAAAGAACTGACATATAGAAGCTGGTGGCAAATATTTGCCTCTGCTCTTGCTCCATTCCTCTAAATTTTAGGCACTCAAATAATGTCCCTAAGGGGAGGGTATGCTTTGCTCTATCCGCCTATTGGAAACAAAATATTTCTTTAAAACTAATTTGTTGCAAGTTTAGAAGTATCTTGATGCATCAACACCAGTGGTTCCCAACCCGTGGTCCATGGACCACCAGTGGTCCATAAGAATGAAAATATGGTCCGCGGCTCCACCATTACTACACTGTTGCCTCAAAATCACGTGGCAATGAGAGCGACTGGTCTTGTGAAACCCTCTTATAGTGCCAAGGCAACTGGGATGTCGGGAAGGGAGAGGCTGACTACCCATGAAAGATTACTACTACCACATCAACTCTAGATTATTATGGTTTTCTTTGGGTGAGCAGATGGCAACTAGTGGATGGCATATGTTCTGTATCAGAAACTAGAGCTGATGTGGTCTATCCAATGCAATTTTCTGAATCAGCATCCCAAATAACCAAACCGAATCTAAAGTTGACCAAAAACTGATTCGTAACCCTTTGGGTACTAATGTCGGAGAGTGGTCCCTGGTGAAAGTGGTCCCTTATTTAAACAAAAATGATTAGGAACCACTGATCTGCACTGAATGCATGTTGACACTACTTTATCTGCAATGACTCAGTGCTGTGGGTCTCCACTAGCACACTTTCTAAGATCTCATAAAATCTCATCTCCCATGATTCCACAGCAATGAGCCATGTGGTGATTAAAGTGGTGTCAAACTGCATTCATTTTACAGTGTAGATGCATCCTAAAGCTGAGGGAGCATGACTTCTCCAAGGCCACCCAGAAAGCTGGAGTCCCCATTGGCGCAGTGGGTTAAACCCCTGTGACGGTAGGACTGAAGACCGACAGGTTGCAGGTTCAAATTCGTGGAGAGCGCGGATGAGCTCCCTCTATCAGCTCCAGCTCCCCATGCAGGGACATGAGAGAAGCCTTCCACAAGGATGGTAAAAACATCAAAACATCCGGGCATCCCCTGGGCAACGTCCTTGAAGACACCCAATTCTCTCACACCAAAAGCGACTTGCAGTTTCTGAAGTTGTTTCTGACACGACCAAAAAAAAAAAAAAAACAAACAAACCAGAGGGCATTTGTGGTTACAGAGAGATATAACCTCTGGTCTCCCAGAGTACTTGGTGTAACACTCAAACCACTATACTAAGGTGTGTCTTCAAGTCATTTTCAACTTACAAGATTCCAAAGGCATGGCGTTTTTTTTCCAGCAACATTTTTACAGAGAGCCTTTACCTTTGCCTTCTTTTGAGTGAGTGTGACCCTTACAAGATCACCAAGTCTATGGTGCAGGGATTAAAATCCTGGTCTTCAGACTCAAAGTAGAACACTCAAACCACTACATCACATAGAAGGAGGGTCAAACCAACACATGGTTATACAATGCTCCATCTACTTATTCCAGACAGGTAAAATGGTTTGACAGGTTTTAACAGACTGCTCACAAAGGTCTGACAGAGGTGTTAGACTACAGACAAGGGCAGGAGAAAGGCAATATGTGTCTGTACCAGAGTACCCTAAAGGCATCAGCTCCTGTCTGATCTTGGAAGCTAAGCAGGATCAGTTCTGGTTATTACTTGGATCAGGGATCACCAATGGATTCCAGGTGCTATGGGCTATATGTCAGAAGAAGGAACTGGCAATAACACCTTCAAAGAAAATCCTATTAAAGGTATGTTGTTGTTGTTGTTTACTCATTCAGTCGCTTCTGACTCTTCATGACCTCATGAACCAGCCCATGCCAGAGCTCCCTGTCGACTGTCACCACCCCAGCTCCCTCAAGGTCAAGCCAGTCACTTCAAGGATACCATCCATCCATCCATCCATCCATCCATCCATCTTGCCCTTGATCGGCCCCTCTTCCTTTTTCCTTCCATTTCCCCCAGCATCATTGTCTTCTTTAAGGTTTCCTGTCTTCTCATTATGTGGCCAAAGTACTTCATCTTTGCCTCTAATATCCTTCCCTCCAGTGAGATGTATGAGGTCACCATAAATCAGCATTGAGGAGGGGACAGCTTGCTCTGGAGACTAGGACATGGAGTGTTGGATTCAAATTACAAGGAAAGAAATTACACCTAAACATTGAAAAGACCTTCCTGTAAGTAAGAGATTTTTGGCAGTGCAATATGCTACTCTGTGAGACCCTTAAAACTGTGGCATAGACACCGAGAACTGGGAAGCCCTGGTCCTTGAGCACTCTAACTGGAGGTCAGCTGTGACCAATAGTGCTGCAGAATTCGAAGAGGCACGAATAGAGGGTGAAAGAGAGAACTATGCCAAGAGGGAGGCACGTCAATCAACTCTGACCAGGACCACCTTCTACCTGGAAACCGATGCCCACACTGTGGAAGAACATGCAGATCAAGAATAGGGCTCCACAGTCACCTTCGTACCCACTGCCAAGACACTACATTTGGAAGGCCAACATATTCATACAGTAAGGGAACACCTATATAATTAAGCAAGTGTGCTGCTGCCTGGGAGCTTGGGGTAGTCTCCTTCTTTGGAGGTTTTTAAGCAGGGGCTGGATGACCATCTGTCGGAAGTGTTTTCATTGTGTGTTCCTGCCTGGCATGAAGTTGGACTAAATGGCCCTTGTGGTCTCTTCCAACTTTAGGAATCTCTGGCTTGAATGCATGTACATGCCATGGGCAGCTTTGCCTTTGCTGTACTATAGTCCGCTCTCTCCCAAGCAGTCCTTGGGTATCCAGGCAGATTTTGCCATCCTCTGGGGCTTCCAAATCCTCCCCCTTTGCCATCAAGGGAAAAGGAAGCACCCCCCTTTCCCAATCAGGCAGGGAGCCAAGGACAGAATTAACTTTCCAAAAAATCTGTTGTGTATAACTGAGCCCAACCAGGGTCGCAGTGTGATTCTCGGATGGACGTAGTATGTGCAGCATCGTAAGCCGGGAGGGTGGGAGTTGGCCTGTCAAACTGCCTTAACTTAATTGGAAACACATGTCTGTGTGTGTCCCCTCCTCCTCCTCCTCCTCCTCCTCGCCAGCCCTCCAGGCTGGGGAATTTTTGTCTGCTTCTTTGCAGCTCCAAATCTGGGGGACTTCACATTCCTGCAAACACCATGCTGGGACAAGGCACAGGCCTTCCAAGTATCTGCCTTCTGCTCCTCTTACCTGTCTTGGCTGCCTCTTGTCCCAGCCGCTGCTTGTGTTTCAGGACCACAGTAAGATGTATGCATCTGAGGCTGGAAACCATTCCTGAGGTCCCACCACAGACAAATGTCCTGTAAGTAGCAGCTTTCTTTGTGTTTTTCCCCCCAAGAAACATCTGTTTTAGCCTGTTGCAACATTTAAAAAAATGAAAAGATGGCAGGAGAAGGGATCCAGCAGAATCTTTTAGACTGATTTCTCAGCGTGGAGTTCAGTTGACTTCCTTCTTTGGATGCACTGCTGGATAGAATATTAAAGCTGCAGGTATTTCAGCACAGCTGTATAGCTGTGGAAGGAAGGGTGGAGTATAAAAAGAGTTAGTTGTGATATAGGTCTGTCAAGCAGCTGGTTTATTCATTCCAAAGTTTGAAAATCATGAAACTTGCTTGTTATTGTGTGCCTTCAGCAAATTTAGGATTTACAATTTTTTGTGTCAAGAGTGACTTGAGAAACTGCAAGTGGCTTCTGGTATGAGAGAATTGGCTGTCTGCAAGAATGTTGCCCAGGGATGCCAGGATGTTTTGATATTTTACCATCCTTTGTGGGGAACTTCTCTCATGTCCCCGCATGAGCAGCCAGAGCTGACAGAGGGAGCTCATCCGCACTCTCCCTGGATTTGAACTTGCGACCTGATGGTCTTCAGTCCTGCCAGGACAAGGGTTTAACCCACTGTGCCACCGGGGGATTTAGGATGACCCTAAGGCAAACCTATAATGGGGTTTTCTTGGCAAGATTTACTTAGAAGTTCTTGTGGGTTTTTTTTCGGGCTATATGGCCATGTTCTAGAGGCATTTCTCCTGACGTTTCGCCTGCATCTATGGCAAGCATCCTCAGAGGTAGTGAGGTCTGTTGGAACTGGGGAAAGGGTTTATATATCTGTGGAATGACCAGGGTGAGACAAAGGACTTTTGTCAGTTGGGCTAGGTGTGAATATTTCAACTGACCACCTTGATTAGCATACAATGGGCTGACTGTGCCTGGAGCAAACTCTTCTTGAAAGGTAATTAGATGTCCCTGCCTGTTTCCTCTCTGCTGTTTTTGCTGTTGCAATTTTAGAATTTTTTAATACTGGTAGCCAGATCTTGTTCATTTTCATGGTTTCCTCCTATACAATACATTTACTTAGAAGTTTCCCGTTAGCTCCCTCTGGAAATGAGTAAATTTGACCTGGGTTTCCAAGGTCAACCAGAATCCAAGCTGAGTGTCCTGGAGAATCCTAGTCCAATGGGCAAATAAGTATGGCACTCTGGCTCTCTCAAAAACTCACAACAAGGATAGGATTTGAACCTGTGCATGTCCATCACTTTAACCACTCCATCCAAAACCTTGCTTCCCAAAAGTCTATTTGCTAAAGCAAAATGAACAAACAGTATGAACACTGCAAGTGAGCCTATGTAGCTAGAAAGCCAGGCTTTGAATCCAGAAGGCCTGGGTTCAAGCTTTACCTCTGCCTAGAAATTCCATCTCTTAGCTTTAGTCCCTTTATCCATAGCACAGAAATAATGACAGCAATGACTGAATGGTAATACAATCTTACCAAGCTGCCATCGCTACAAATGTATTCAAAATTCTAACTATCTTTCAAATACATGTTAACCATCCCTCATCCAAAATTCTGAAATGCTCTAAAATGCCAAATGCTCCAAAATGCCAAACGTTTAAGAAGATTCCTCTTAAATGTTAGTGAGAACTTCTTAGCCACAAGAGCTATTTGAAAGGAGAATGCACAAGCAATAGAGGATGATGGACTGCACTTCATTGGAGATATTTAACAGAGGTTGGATGGGCATCTCTAAAGACGTGTGCATCCCTGCATGGAAAGAGGTTGCACGAGTGGTGCATCTACACCAGGTATGGGCAAACCCAGGCTAGGGGGCCAGATGCGGCCTCTTGGGCTCATTTCTCAGGCTCTTCTCTCACACACCATCCTATCCTTCATTCCTTTTTCCTTCCTCCTTTCTTCCCTTCCTTCCTCCCTCTTTCTCCCTTCCTTCTTCCTTCCCTTATATCCTTTCGTCCTTCCTTTCCTCTTTTTTCCTCCTTCCCTCTCTCTCTCTCTCCCTTTCCCTCCCTCCCTTCCTTCCTTCCTCCCTCCCTTCCATCCATCCATCCATCCATCCATCCATCCATCCATCTTTCCTTCCTTCTCTTCCTCCCTTCTCTTTTTTCCTTCCTCCTTTCCTCCTGGGAGATGTTTAGCTGGGAGAAGAAAAGGTTGAGAGGGAACAGGAGAACCATGTTTCAATTTTTTAAAGGGTGCCCCATTGAGGAGTAGGAAGGGGAAAACTGACTTTCTGCTGCTCTAGAAACCAAGGCACAAGAGAGCAATGGTTTCAAATGGCAGGAAAATAAATTTGAGTGAAAAGATTAGGAAGAACTTAAGAGCAAGAGCTGTTGGAGAGTGACGTAGGCTGTCTCAGAGTGTGATGTAATCTCCTTCTCTGGAGGCTTTTCCATGGATGCTGACTACCAGGAGTGCTTTGATTGTGCCTTCTTTCATGGCAGGGGGTTGGAATGGGTGGCCCTTGGGAGCCTCTTCTAGCTCTAGGATTCTATATCAGGAGTAGGCAATAAGGGGTCTAATGGCTACACATTTTCTCTCCTGTCCACCATCTCATCCTGATGAAGGCTAAGCCTTTTGGAATCCAAACATTTCCCCCCTTTCCTTCACTTTCTGTCCCCAAAAGAGAAGAGGAAGGGGAGGAAAGGGCAGGGAGAGGACTTGAGAAGAACCCCTTTCCTCCTGGCCTGCCCACTCCATTCTGTCCACCATGTGGCCACCAAGTTAAAAAGTTTGCCCAAATCTATGTTGTAGAATTAATGCAGTTTGACACTACATGAACTGCCATAGCGTAATTTTATGGAAATATGGAAGCTGTAGATTTACAATGTCTTTAGTCTTCTCTACCAAAGAGTGCTAGTACCTCACCAAACTACAAATCCCAAGATTCTACAGTATTATGCCATGGCAATTAAAGTCATAGAGTTGGAAGGGAACACAAGAGCCATCCTGTCCATGCAGAAACACACAAAGCACTCCCAAAAGTGATGTCAACTTGCATTAATTCTATTGTGTAGAGGCACCCCAGATGTCCCTTCCAGCATATTCCAGCTTTGTGATCCTATGATGGACTCTTCTTCAGTTCTTCTGTTTCTTTCCAAGTGCTTGTGATCAGAGATGGGCTTTTCTACTTGGCAGGTGGGATTCAAAGTGGGAGGCCAAAACAGGTGATCTTTCAGAACATCAAGAGTTTTAGCTGTCTTTCTTTGTGTCGCTCTGTGTGCTTTTTTTGCATAGAGAGGAGGATAGTGTAGAATACTGTTAGCAATTCTGTACTTATATGTTCAGTCTGAACCACTTCTGTTTGAAAAAGGAAACAAAGGAGCTTTGCAAATTCATTTGTGCGGTTAGTTTCCTCTGTGTTTTGTATGGTTGAATGGGCAGGAGAGTCTGGGGTAAAAAAAGAAACTGTTCTGACTGCCAAACTGCCAGAGATACATACATACATCTGTCTACTTTGAGTCTCCTTTGCAGAGAGAAAAAGTGGGATAATAATAATAATAATAATAATAATAATAATAATAATAATAATTGCTCATCTTTTAAAAATACATCACACAGTCCTAGACGATTGGGAAGTGTTTGACTTTTGTGATACAAAATCCAGCATATATATCTCATTTGCAGTGGCATACTTCATTTTTGTATCAGTAAAATAAAAATATTATAAATACTGACACAATACAAGGATTCAAAGATTGAACTGCAAGGACTCTGGCACAAGCCAGTAAAGGTGATCCCAGTGGTGATCGGCACACTGGCTGCAGTGCCTAAAGACCTTGGCCTGGACTTAAACACAATCGGTACTGATAAAATTACCATTTGCCAGCTGCAGAAGGCCACCTTACTGGGATCTGCATGCATTATTCTCCAATACATCACACATTCCTAGACACTTGGGAAGTGTCCGACATGTGATCCACTACAACAGCCAGTATCTTGTTGTGTTTCAAATAATAATAATAATAATAATAATAATCCAATCTCCAAAATGTTAGACCATCCACACCAACTTGGTTGTGATTTCACCCAAGAGAAGCAAAAGGAGGTACAGTCTGCAGTAGTGGTCGTTTATGCCTGGTTGCAATGGAGAAGCTAAGAAAAACAGAAGGGAAGGAAGTTGCCTTGGCAGTCTGGAGCGGAGAGAGAAAACTGTGAAAGCGGCAGATGAAAGAACCAGAGTGGGAAGTTGGGGGGAGAAGCACATTTCTACCTCCAACCAGCGTCCGACAGAAGGAAAATAGGTATGCTTGTTTCCAGGGAAATGAACAAAAAGGCCCAGTATAGTAGGGAGGAAGCCAAAGGGGCAAGCCTCTCCCATGGCGTCTGGCGGCGGCAGGCCTTTGCCAAAACCGAGTTACAGAAACAGCTGGAGAACACACGTTTCAGTCCACCAAACGGTCTTCCACATGTGCATGGCACAAATGCTGCAACAATGTTTTACATTCCATGCAGTTTTTAGTTCCATCCAGCTGAGATCCTGGGATTTTCAGTGGCTTAAAAATACAATGCAGACACAATGCATAGTCTCCAACTGCCTTCACTTGGCATGCACAATTCCATTTAATCCTTTGTCATCCCACTTTTTCTGTCACTTTGGAAATGTCCCGGTTTCTTCCCCTTCTCTCACTTTCCCCCTTTGTCTGCAGTTTAATTCACTTGCTGCAAACTGAGTTCAAAGTCAAAGCAGTTTTCATTCAGTTAACTCAGTGGAGAAGTACTTAGGCGATCCCTTGTAACCCTTGTATATGGGGCCAGATGATGGTCCTCCAAGTGTAGTGTCTTGGCGGTGAGTCTGTAGGTGGCTGTGGAGCCCTATTCTTGATCAGCATGTGCTCCCACAGTGAGGACATCAGTTTCTAGGTGGAAGGCGGGCCCAATCAGGCTTAACTTGACATGCCTTCCTCTTGGCAAGTTTCTCCCTTTGCCCCCCATTCTTGCCTCTTTGAATTCTACAGCTGGTTACAGCTGACCTCCAGTTAGAGTGCTCAAGAGTCAGGGCTTCCCAGTTCTCA